TGAACCCTACAAACCTTAAACCCTGATTCCTAAACTGAAGGCCCTGAACCCTAAACCGTGAACCCTAAACCTTAAGCCCTGAACCCTAAACCCTAAACCCTAAACCTGAAACCCTGAACCCTAATCCCTAAACCCTAAGCCCTGAACCCTAAACCCTAAACCCTAAACCCTAAACCCTAAACCCTAAACCCTCTTCCGAGGCATCGGCTTCCATGGCGACCTACGTCAGCTCTGGAAGGAAGTGGCCAAGCCGAACGCGGGTCGGGAGCCAAGTGTAGAGGAGAGGGTCCTTTATGAAAGGGGGGTTTAGGGGAGGAGGGTTTTAGGGTTTAGGGTTTAGGGGAGAGGAGGGTTTTAGGGTTTGGGGTTTAGGGGAAAGGGGTTTAGGGAGGAGGGTTTTAGGGTTTAGGGTTTAGGGGAAAGGGGTGTAGGGAGGAGGGTTTAGGGTTTAATTAGGAGAAAAGGGGTTGAGGGAGGAGTGCTTTAGGGTTTAGGGTTTAGGGGAAAGGGGTTTAGGGAGGAGGGTTTAGGGTTGAAAGGCAGGTTAGGGTTTAGGGATGAGTTTAATTAGGGTTTAGGGTTCAGGGTTTCGGGGTGTATGGACAGTTTAGGGTTTAGGGATGAGGCTTTAGTAGGGGCCTATGACGATAAGGATTGTTACTCGTATGAGGGTTTCTGATGGGGTCCCGCTTTGCCTTTAGATTCGGGTCTTAGAGGGAGTGTCTGTGTGGGCGTCTGCGTGGGCTTTACTTAGTTCTCCAATGCCCAACCTTTAAACTTTTTGGGCTGTTGTAGTTTCGCAGGAATCCAACAGTTTAGCCTTTTATTTTCCTGACTTATTGGGGAGTAAGTTTAAAAGCTTTCTAAGGTGTTTCGTTTATGAGTTGTGAGAGGGATTCCTACAGGGGATCATCGCATTCCGACCGGCTCCAAAGAAACCAGGGACCTTCACTGGGATTGAGGGCCGTTTGGGCTTGTTTGCAGTGAACAGGCTACGGTAGCCATGACCTTGGTTCTGCTGCCTAAAACGCTGAACCCTAACCCTAAACCCTGAATCCTAGACTGGTAGACTCCGTTACGATCCCAACGCCCCACATGCAAGTATAGGGGCGCTGAATAGTCACCCATCGTCATTTTTGGGGTTGCCCAGTTTGCCCGAAAACCCTAATATAGCGGCCTGAATAATTAGGATAGGTTTTTTTTTTGGGGGGGGGGGAAATCGTACTATATGTACGTATAAGAAGGAACCCCCAAAATAGAGTATAGGTAATTGTTAAGGCTTCTATGGTAGCCCCCAACTTCCGCAAAACCCGAGACCCCCAAAGCCTACAGCAAAGTCTTGGGCATTTCTAAATCCAAAAACAATTTAGGGTTTAGGGGTTTAGGGGCTTAAGGTTTAGGGTAAAAAAAACCAAAACTTCCCTAAACCCTCAACATCCCCCGAAGCCCACATGTCCCCAAACAGGGTCCGGAAGCCCTAAGGCAACCCGCAACATTCCTACCCCTGCGTATGTGGAACATCAGCCTTTTTTGCAAGTGTTGGGCCACTAGTTATCCCGATGTTATTTTGCATTAAACCCTAAACCCTAACCCCTAAACCCCAAACCCTAAACCCTAAACCCCTAAACCCCAAACCCTAGACCCTAAACCCAATTTCAGCCGAGGCCACGTCTCCTTGACGGACCTGGATCCTCAGGCCGTGCAGGCGCTGTCAGCATCTCTGAACGGGGTTTCGGGATATAGGGCTGTTTCGGTTTAGGGGGTAGGATTCCTAAACCCTAAGCCCCCCTAAACCCTAAACCCTATAAACCCTAAACCAGGGTGGCTTAAGTTGTGCTTTATGATTTGGCTTTGCCGCTGTACCGCCTTAGTCCTTGTGAAAGTTCTATAGCGGCTTGCAGAGCCCAAGGGTTCAATAATGGCAGGTACTGGCGGGCTCTAATTAAACCCCTAAACCCTGAAGCCCTAAAGCTCCAAACCCTAATAAAACATAATAAAACAACAAGCCCTAAACCCCAAACCCTAAACCCTAATTAAACAATAAGCCCTAAACCCCAACCCCTAAATCCTAATTAAACAATAAACCGTAAACCCAAACCTCATATGGTTTCTAAGCCCTGAAAGGTATACTGTCACAGCAGCACATCCGAACCCCAAAAGTCTAAACGGTTTATGTCGTAATGTAGGGGCCTGAATAACTACCAAAACTATCTTGGGGGTTCCTTGCTATAACTATAGTATCCTCTGTCCGCACACACCCCAAAACCCGATTCTAATTATTATGACCCCAAGTCTTGAAACGCCTTCCGTTCAACCCTCCAATGTGCTTCGTCCCCTAAACGATAAACCCCAAAACCCTAAACCCTAAACCCTGGCAGGCTCTTTGGGACTTCCGAGCCTTGCTTTTAGAGCCCCGGCAGACAATGGCCGTAGTTTACGGTTCAGGGCGGTTTAGGGTTTCTGGCTCAGGGGTTGACAGCTTTTGGGTCATAGGGCTTGAAGCTGATGGGCGAAATCCTGCAGAACCTTGAATTTAGAGTTTAGGGTTGCAGAGTCCAGGATTTAGTCCAGGGTTTTGCGACTTAAGATTCTAGACTGTAGGGTCTGGGTCTGGGTTTCAGGGTACCCCACTTTGGGGATTTGGGTTAAGGGTTCAGTTTAGGGTTTATTTATGCATTGTGTACGGATGATAATCCACGAGTTTGTCCATCGGAGGAAGGTCTTGGGCAGTTTTGGGAGTTTTCGGTTGCACAAGTGCTACGAAGGGTAAAGAAAGGCTGACCATCAGAGACTGTAGGTCCAGTCTTGATTGATGGCTTGGGATTTGGTCCTTTGCATTTCCGCAAGATATCTCAAATCGGACCATTACAGAGGCTGCAAAACCCAGGGGAGGGTACCGATCCTACAAGCAGAGCTCGAATGGGGTCTTGATGTGTAGTTAATGACGTACCACCAAAAAGGGACTATTGACTATCACAAAACTAGCAGGTGTCGGACATGTATCCAGACCCGTACATTGCAAACTCATATCGGTGGTTGTCAAAATTAGGGTCCCTTTTTGGGTACCCTAAATATTAGGTGCCGTATTATATTACGGACCCAAAAAGGGACCATAATTTTGACAACCACCCCTATACCCTAAACCCTAAACCCTAAACCCTAAACCCTAAAAACTCCCCTTTTTCAACAGTCCTATAAAGATTGCCTCTAAGCATGAGACTGCTGCTCGCGTTACCTCAGCTGGCCGAGAGTCTTCTTTCCCTCCGACCGGGGGCGCTTCGTGCGAAGTTGAGGATCTTTGCACCTTAATAGGGTTTAGGGTTTAGGGTTTAGGGTTTAGGGCCCTAAGCCATGCCCCGGTTAACCTCTTAACCCTAAACCTTACATCCTAGATCTTAAACCCTAAACGCCCGTAAGGCTAAACCCTTCAACAGTTGCTCCCACCCCTAGACCTTAAACCTTAAGCCCAAGACAATACAGAGTTCGGAATAGTCAGCAACAGTATCCGACCCCTGATGTACTCTAGCATACCCATACATACTCCAAATCCCCATTGAAACTATGAAGGCCCCTAGATTGAGAAGATAATTTTGCCACAAGACCCTCCTAAAAGGAAGCTAGGCCCAAAACCTAAAGCCCTAAACCCTAAGCGAAAACCAAGGAAAACTTCGGTGACATCATGACTGCTTGGAATCATGGGCTCGATCCGAAGAAGCGCGGGAAGCTGGAGGCCTTTGGTGGCGTTTGGGGGATTTCGGAATCTCGGACGTCGGGTCGGCTTCAGCTGCCCCTGAAACGCCAAAGAAGAGCCCCAAACTAGGGTTTGGGCTTAGGCTTTTAGGGTTTAGGCTTTTAGGGTTTAGGGCTCTAGGCATTTAGGGTTTAGGGTCTAGGCTTTTAGGGTTTTAACGTGCGCAGGCCTGGGGGTTTAGGGTTTATGAGGTTCAGGGGATTGAGACTTTCAGTGCAGGGCTCTGGTTTAGGGTTTGGGGTTTAGGCGTCCGAATGTTGTGCAGCAGTGTCCTGTGACCGGTGGTGTTTGCCATGGTGACGGGATATGACGAGATGGCCATGGCGATGATGGTGGTTCTGGCGCTGTCAACTGACGGTCGTGATGGAAAAACGACGCGGATGGTAAACAATAGTTTTTGCTGTTCTTCGCTATGGTTTAGGGGCTTAGTGCTAGGGCAAGATTTGTAGCCAAGCTTTTGGCCCCTTCAGACTCTCGCATGAAGATCCAAAGCTCAAGACCCAGACCCTAGGAAGTAGGGATCTGAAGAATTTGTAATCATGTTCCCTGGCAGTCCCTGCGTAAGCATAACCTACTACACCCCAAAGCGCTACACAGCCCCTTGTACTAAACTCTGAAGGCGTTCAAGCCCAAAACAAAAAGACCGGTGCCAGGAGGAGGACTTCTGCAACCGCGTGACCGAGATGGGCTATCCCGTCCGGGTCCAATCTGTCGGGGTTTTAGGGTTTAGGGTTTAGGGTTTAGGGTTTAGGGTGGTTAGGTTGGTACATGCGAGCTGGCCGAATAGTTTTTCAGCTCCGACGGTGCTACCGAGGAAAGCCAGTGGAGCCACCAAACCTTGGCAAGACTGAAATAATAATACAGGGGGTTTAGGGTTTAGGGTTTAGGGTTTAGGGCTAAATCATTACCTACATTGGCTTGGGGGTTCCTTATTAATAGTTACAGTATAATGGGCCCCAAAACCCTATTCTAAGACTGCCAAAAGCCTTGGGTTTGGGGTCTTTAGGATTTAGGGCTTACTTGGAAGATCATGGGACTTAGTAAGTAAGGTTATAAGTCCCCTAATTGGGGTTATAAGTATAGTTACCCTAATTATAACCCTACTGACTAAGTCCCATGATCTTTAAGTAGGGTTTAGGGTTGAGGACAGAGAGCCTCTGATCTCCGAGCACGTCCCGGCTCTAACACCACAGGGGCCCATTCAAGCTGAATGCCTCTCAGGGTCTGAACATCATGCCTTTTTTAAGCCCCGAGCACACAGAACTTTTTCTAGTATCTCTGAGTCTCCAATTTGAAGTCACATTTGGTGTCAAGATTGGGCCCGCCAGATCCTAATGCCAGGATCCCGAATCGTAAGACTAATATCCTTCGCCCCCAATCCCAATCTCTACTCTCTCAGACCTTAAACCCAAAACACCTCCTAGAACCTGCAAGCAACCTCAAACTCTTATACTAAAAAGCCAGCAAACAGTAAGGACCACCAGGGCTCCAGTCAGGGTACCTGGGGGGTCCTTGCCCAAACTGCAGAAGCATCTCGAATCAGCAAAGGCAACAGCTCCCCCAGGAGCCCATGTTCACAGTCACCACTCACCAAATGCACGAAAAGACACCCTATGCCCTAAACCCTAAAGCCCTCGATCAAAAGAGGCGCTCTGAAAAAGCCCTAAAACCCCCACCCCCTAAACCCTAAACCCTAAGCCGTCATCTGGTTCACGTCGGGAAGCACTGAGGGCGACGTGAAGAAGCTCTGGCAGCTCCTGCTGGCTGAGCCGCCAGCGGCTTAGGATCTGAAGTGTGGTAGTCTAAGTAACCCCTTGCTTTTCGGTCCCTATTCCACCTGTTAAGGCCCCGATACCACGGTTTGGAGGAAGCTAGGACTCGTTTCGAGTTGGAGGTCACGAAAGCTTTGTCAGAACGTTTGACTTTGTGTCTACGTTGGGCTTAAGCTTGTCCAGAATTACTACTCTCTCACACTTCAACGTTCCACCCCTCACTGAAAGAAACCTTGCTTTTGGCAAGCAAGGCATCGCAAATACATCGTCCTCCGCGACATTGATCCCGCTGCTGCTGCGGCCGTTGGCTTAACACATAGATTGTTCATGAACGTTTACGAAGCCTTGACGACCTAGTTTCTATGGTTCGCCGGCTCTGCAAGCGTAATTGCTCGTTTCTTTGGTGTGTATGGACTCGACGGGGACACAAACAACGTACATGCGCAACGTATTTTGACATGATCCTTTTGAATTGCTGTGATGCTGTTATGCATGCTCTGTCTGCGTTCATTCAGGCACACACCAGTCTCTCTCTCTCTCTCTCTCTTTCTGTGCATGTGTATGTGAGATAAGTGCATAAAGATCTGCTCACATACACGATCCACAGTGGTGATGAAGCTGATGCCAGTGTTGAAGATGATGCTGAGGAGGACTTGAAATCTTCCCAACAACACGATGATGATGGAAGATGGTGTCCATGAAGAAGAAGATGAAAAACAACATGAACATTATGACTATTATGATTATGGTGATGGTGATTATGATGGTGATGGTGATGGTGGTGACTGTGCTGATGATGATGGTGCTGATGATGGTGATGATGATGATGATGATGATGGTGACGATGATGATCATGGATGATGATGGTGATGGTGATGGCGGTGACCGTGATGGGTGTGACGGTGATGATGATGATGATGATGATGGATGATGTTGGTGATGTTGGTGATGTTGTTGCTGTTGATGATGATGATGATGATGATGATGATGATGTCATGGTGCTGGTCATCATGATGCTGCTGATTATGGTGATCATGCTGATGATTATGATGTTGATGGTGTTGATGATGATGATGATGATGATGATGATAATGGTGATGGTGATGATGATGATGATGGTGATGGTGAGGTTGTGATGATGATGACGACGATGATCGCGCCTGCACAGTTTGTTTTAATGTTTTCCTGTTGTTGCCGCTGTGAGGCTTGTGGGTTTTGGTGAAGCAGCTCTGAATTCACTACGTTTGTTCTTCGCCTTATTTCACATTGGACCAAGGCATATTTCCGTGGCGACGACAAAGCCCTCACCCTCTATGGTACACAAAGCCTGCGACTTAGTTCCGAACGGCCAAGAGATAAAACTTGAGATTTTAAGGTTTTCGCGTTAAGCGTTAACCGAACATACCGCTAGTAGTCTTCGGGTCGATTCCTCCTCAATGTGCTGAAGGGATGGCCGTGGATTAAGATAGAACTACGTGCGGACCCGGATTTCGTGAATCATCCGAACCCAAACCTGCTCCGGCCTGCAAATCCCAAGCATGTCTGCAACGCCTGATTGTCACACCGAAGATCGCCAATGTGTCTGTTATCAGGGCAATCAGGCCACAGGAACAACGAAAGTCGCATCCCCTGTTCGGCAGGGGAAGAACAGCTGCAAGCAGCACGGTCGGTAGGGCGGGGGGGAGAACAGTGCAAAGCCGGGTTCGGTTCCCTAAACCCCTTAATCTTGGTACCCTGTTTCGGCTGATGCTCTCGAGGTGGCCCGCAGGCCTCTCCCAGCAAGTGGGCAGGACCTGCTATAGTGCTCTGAAAGTATCCTTCGACGACGCCGAGTTCGCTTCAAGTCTTATAGGGTTTTTTTAGGGCATTACAAAGTGGGATGAGGGTTCTCTTTGAAACACGTGTGTCCGTTTCAGTTCTCTCCAGAGGGACCCTGAAAAGGATATGGGATGAGGGGTTCAGTTTCAGGGCTTCTTTGCACGAAGTCCTCGAAGAGCCGGAAGCCAGAAACAACTACATATACTGCTCCTTACGGCTAGTAGTACACAAGGTACATAGCGAAGACCCCATTCTGCCTGTTCGGGCTCCTATACTACGCCCTCAAAGCTTGCGCAGGAAAGATCTCTGTCATCAACACTGAAGACAACGAAGAGGCGGAGGCGAGTCTTTTAGTCGAGACTCTAGACCTTCGCGATTTCGGGTTTTTGGTTTTGGGTTTTGGGTTTAGGGTTAGTTGCCATAATTAAGCCCTAAACCTAGACCCTCTACATCCAAAGCCCAAGATCTAACCGGTTCTGAAACCCTAAACCCTTAAACAAAATCAAAGAGTTCCAATGTAGGGTTCATAGTTGAGGGCTCCGAAGCCTCCGCCCCGTGCAAAGACTTGTGGAACGCCCACAAGACTTTAGGGTTTAGGGGTTAGGGTTTAGGGTTTATCTTAGAAGCAGAGTCGGCAACCTTTGGCGCAGCATGTCTCACGCCGCGCGCTGCAAGGTTGTTGTGGCATCACAAACCCTTTACATACCCCAAGATCACCCATAGGCTCCATGGTAGTCCTCTTTTGTGTTTCAAATTTAGGATCCTAGAACGGTAATCCCCAAAAAGGAACTACAATCGAGCCTATTGGTAGCCCTATAAGTTCCCTAAACCCTAAACCC